GTGCTATTTGAATTTGTCCTTTGTCTGTGCCACCCAGTAATTCATGTTAGACCCAAGTGAAATTGTCAGCTCAGTTGTTAGTGTCTGTAGTATGCTAATTAGGAAAAGATCCACACATATTCAGTTGAGAAGAATGAGCCCAGAAGTTCATACAAATCTTTATGGGGTTGTTTTACCTTTCCATTATGTCTCTAGTACTTTCTGGTTCTTCGGAGCTTCCCTTTTTGGATCAGAAACCACTTGCTTTTTCTATTGTTCCACCTCTGATGCCAATTGGTGAGAGGGTAGAAAGAGGAGGAAAAAAGATATGTGTTATACCCACTATCTTGCTGCCTTAACTCCATCAAATGAAGAGGGAGTTTCATTTCCTTTAGAGCTTTGGCTCCTGCGGTCTCCTGTGGGTAGCCACGGTCACTGCTGCCACCTTTGATATGGGATATCTTAGAGTCTATGCCATGAGAGAGCAGAGAAAAGGAGAGAATTCTCTCAAGCCCCAGAGATTTCCCCATTTTCTCTGAATTTATCAGTTCCTTTTCTGACTTCCAGCCAGAACTGATTGTTTCTCCTGCATTTTTTTTCTGTCAGCATGATAGTGCTCAGTTCCAGCTCTGAGGCTGCATTTGATTCAAGTCAGAGCGATACTGAAGGAAAGCTCACTTGATGGTGGTTTGAATAGTCTCCACCCCCCACCCCCAAGCTAACTTTTCCTGATCTTCAAATAGCTGCACTATTCATTCTATCCAAGTTTTGTAGTGTTCAATTTGGAAAGAAAAAGGTACTGTGTTTTTACTCCATCTTACCCAGAACTGGATTCCTATTCTATTTTGAGTTTATATTCTGGATATAAGCCTTTTATCAGATAATTATTTACAGATATTTCTCCTAGTCTATGGCTTATTTCTTCATTCTCTTAACAATGTCTTTTAAAGAGCAGAAATATGCCCTGGCCAGTTTGGCTCAGTGGTTAGAGTGTCAGCCTGTGGTCCAGAGACACCTGGCTTTGATTCCCGCTAAGGGTGCGTACCTTGATTGCAGTTTGTCCCCGGCCCTGGTTGGTCATGTGGGTGGCAGCCACTCCATGTGTCCCTTTCACATCGTTGTTTCTCTCTCTCTTCCTCTCTCTCCTTCCCACTCTATCTGAACAAAAAATGGAAAAATGTCCTCGGGTGAGGATAAAAAAAATAAAGAGCAGAAATATTAATTTTGATGAAACAGTAACTTTTAAAAAATGTATTGTGCTTTTTGAGGTCATATCTAAGAAATTTTGCCTAATACAAGGTCACAAAGAACTTTTTGGGTTTTTTTCTAGATGTTTTATAGTTTTATACTTTATATTTATGTCTATGATACATCTTGGATTTTGTGAGTATAGAGTGAGATATAGATTGAAGATCATTAATTTGAATATATATGTCAAATTGTTTTTGCATCATTTATTGAAAAGACTTTCTTTTCTCCACTGATGGCCTTTACACCTTTGTAAAAATATAATCGGTTTCCTTATATATTTGGTTCTATTTCCGGGCTTTGTATTCTGTTCCATTGATCTATTTGTCTTTTTTTTTTGTGTGTGTGTGTGTATGGTAAAATATACATAACAGAATATTTAGCATCTTAGCCATTTGTAAGTATACAGTTCAGTTGCATTAAATATATTTATGCTATTGTATAATCATCACCATTATCTATACCCAACACTTTATCATTCTTAATATAAACTCTGTATCCATTAAATAAGAACTCTCAATTCTCCTCTCCCTTCAGCCCATGGTAACCCCTGTTCCTTTCTTTGTATATGATTTTGTTTATTAAGGACTTCATATAAGTGGAATCTTAAAATGTTTGTCCTTGTATGTCCAGGTTATTTTGCTTAGTATAATATTTTCAAAGTGCATCATGTTACAGAAATACAAAAATTTCATTTTCTTATTTATGTATGAATACTGTTCCATTGTATGCACATTGCCTGGAGGTCATTAAGCCTCTTGGACTTACAGATTCATGTCTTTCATCAAAATTGGGAATTTTGAAGCACTATTTTTTCAAATATTTTTCTGTCCCTTTGTCTCTTTCTTAGCCTTCTGAGTCTCCCACACTTTACATGGTGATCCACTTGATGGTGTTCCACAGATCCCTTTGGCTCTGTTAACCTTTCTTTGTTCTTTTTTCTTTCTGTTCTTCAGACTTGATAATTTTAATTGTATTACCTCACTGCTTTTTTCTGTTTGCTTAAATATGCTTTTGAACTCCTCTGGTGAATTTTTCATTTCAGTTATTGTTTTTTGTTTAAATTTTTTTCTTTATTGATTTTAGAGAGAGAGAGAGGAAAGGAGAGGTAGAAAATCTATTAGAGAGAACATTGATTGGCCACCTCCTGCATGCCCCCCACTGAGGATGGGGCCCATAACCTGGGCATGTGCCCTGAACAGGAATACAGCTGGTGACCTCTTAGTGTATGGGTTGATGCTCAACCACTGAGACATACCAGCTGGGCCAGTTATTGTTTTATAAACCTCAGAATTTCATTTGGTTTCTTTTTATGTCTTTGTCTTTATTGATATTCTCATTTTGTTTACACATTGTATTCATGTCTTTATCCACATCTTCCTTTAGATCTGAGTCTCTTTAAGTCTTTAGTAAGTCCAGTGTCTGAGGTTCTTCAGGGGTCAGTTTCTGTCAATTAATTTTGTTCCTTTGAATGGGCCACACTTTATTGTTTCTTTGTATTTTCTTTGTATGCCTGTGATTTTTTAACTGGATATTTGAATTTTTAATGTGTTAACTCTGGAAATGAGATTCTTTCCTTTTCCTAGAATTTTCTGGTTTTTATTTTATCGTTTGATTTATTGATTGTTGAAAGGTGTCTGAAGTGAAAGCTTAAGGTCTCCTTAGGTCATATTTGAACATGTGTCTTTTGCTGGGCATGTTTGGTGGCTTTCTAAATTCCTCTCTATATATGGATGCTTTTGAATGTCCTAATCCTTAAATGCCTGGCTCTCCAGAGGAGGAAAAGGGTAGTGGGGGGAAAAAAAAAACCCAAACATGCTATTTCTTTAAAACCCCTGGAAGCAGCTTTAGTCAGCTTTAGTCAGTTGGGGTTGAAACAATGCTGGCCAGGATCTGTGCTAGCCAAGATTTCCCCTGAAAGCTACAAGCTTTTAAATAGACTTCAGTTCCAAAATAGTTAGTCCACAGTTTCTGATAGTACAGTCATTGTCATCTAGGTGGAGAGATGGATTCCTGATTCTTCCTACTCCTCCAGCTTCTCTGAGGTCATCCTAGTATAATCTTATATATAGTAGTTATTTTTCAGCTGTCCTAAAAAGAACCAAGGGAGAAAGTGTTCACTTCTGGACCAGTGTTTTAAAGACCAGAAGAGTGTTTTTTAGATCACAGTAATGGGGCAGTGGGAAAACTTCCAAAGAATGTGGAAAATCAGGATAAAATTTAAGCTACCTGGGCAACCATATTGCATCATTTGAATATTATCCTTCCAGGATTACAATCCTGGTGTACTTGGGTTTTTGTTTTTTTTCACTAAAGATGAGTTCCCCTTTTCCAGGGGCTAGTCTCTATTTTGGTCTGTCTTCAATTGCATGCAGACTGCAATTTGGGGAAAACTTCTTCTGACTCTTGGGAGTATTCCTTTCTCAAGTGTACTCAAAATGCATACAAAGATGAATCAGAGGACATCCAAGCCCTATAGGGACTTTCAGTTAGATTGAGCATCTGCCCATAACCAACATACCTTAAAGTAGAATGTATGGCCTGCTCTTATTGGTATCCAGTACATTCTACCTTGATCCAAAAAGTAGCAATTTTATGTAATTACTTTTTTTTAAATCCTCACCCAAGGATATTTTTCCATTTATGTTCAGATAGAAGGAAGGAGGGGAGGGAGGGGGAGAGAGAGAGAGAAAGAAACATTGATGTGAGAGAGACATATCAATTGGTTGCTTCCTGCACGACCGCGACCAGGGCCAGGGACCAAACCGCCACTGAGGTACGTGCCCTTGACTGGAATTGAACCTGAGATTCTCTGGTCTGCAGGCCGATGCTCTAACTGCTGAGCCAAACTGGCCAGGGCTGTAATTACTTTTTGAATCTCTTGTGTATTTATGCCCCATATATATCTGTTAAATTAATGTATTGGTTGGGACACTTGCGTTAGGTTTTCTATAAGAATTTACTGCTAGGATCCTCATTTGAACCTAACAATCACATATGCAAATATATGTATGAACATTTACAGGCATGTGTATAAGTAGTTCCTAAGCCAGCGATTTGGAAACCTTGCTATTCATGACTCACCTGAGGAATTTTCCCCAAACCCCAGTTCCTATGTTCTAGTCATAGTGACTGTTTTAATAAGTCCAGGTAGAAGTAAGGAATATATATTTTTCAAAATATACATTGAGTAATTCTGATATGCAGCCAGAGTAGAGAACCATAGCCCTTTGACTTCCTAAGCAAGTCTATAGCCAAAATGGAGGAATAAAGTGTGTTTTATTCTTTAGGGAGATTCTGAGTAGACCACATAGGGTAGTCCAGAGCACTCGTTTTGGAGCTTGGAGATTGGGTTCCAATCTCAGTGTAGCCACTTCCTAGCTGTTAGCCTTTGACAACTACCTGATCTTCAAGAGCTTCAGTTTCTTTATAAAATAGGAACTATAGGGTTACTATGAGGATTTATGTAAAGCCTCACAACACTATCTGTACTACAGCACAAAAAAATGTTGGCCAGATTTATTCTGGTGTACAGCCATGCCATTGGATTAGTCCAGATGTGGAAGTCCCCTTCTTCAGCCAGCTCTTGAAACCGGGTTTCTGGTCATCCAGCCAAGTGAAGAATGCGAAGGGGCTGTTGATTGGTACGCACTTGCTCGCCGGGCTCAAATGCTGTGCCACACACGTCCACCAGGGGCCGCTCAAGCTACCCAAGCTCAGCGTGCAAAGTGGGCTACGCCCCTGCGCCTGCTCACTTGGAGCCTCTGAAGCCTCGCGGACCGCCCCCTCCCAGCTTTCGGCTACTGCTCCCCTAGTGGCTACCTGAAACTAAGCCTCTGTGGCTGAGTACGGCAGCGCTTGGGGGACAAGTATTTTCCGCTTCTGTGGATTCTCCTTTGCTCGGTTTCGTTCTGTGGGCAAATCTGGGGCAGCAAGTCTTAGCCGCTCCGTTGCTCTCTGCGACTTGAGCGGTAGGAGAAGGCTGCGGCCAGCACGGAGTGTGGGCTGACTGTGGCCTGGGCCGGCCGAGACGCCTTACCCTGATGCTGCGATGGCTGATCGGGGGAGGCCGCGAACCTCAGGGACTGGCCGAGGTAAACCCCTGGGTAGAGCCTGCCTGCCCAGCAGAAGCTGCTGTCTGAGCTGGGATCCTGAGTCCAGACAATGGAGACCGCGTCGGAGGCGGGGCTTGCGTGTTGTGAGGCCGGAGGAGAGGGTGGGGCTGGGCTGGGGCTGGGGGGGGGTGGGGGAGGGGGAGGGGGAGGGGGGCCTCTTTCAGCTGCTAGCTGGTACTTTCGATTCTTCTAAGACCCTGAGAGTTAAGTACAGTATCCTTGTCCCAAAAGGTGAGAAAACTGAAGCTGATGTGGTTCAAAATTGAGCTCGAGGACACTCAGCAGCTCCTTACTTAAACCATTCTCATTTCCATTTTTAAAAAGTATCAGACTTAAGTACTAGAAACAAGTGGTGACTGTGGCTTTTACACTTTTGTTTTATTTGAATTGGTGTCACTTCCCCAAGTCAACTGATACAATTTTGGGGTGAATTAAAAATAAAACATTTATGCATGTTATAAATTTCTTTGTGTAAAAATATTTCAGTTTTATAACTGCTGTGAATTTGTACATTATTAGGACCGATGATTTGCCCTAATTCATGCGAGAACTTTTTATCAAAGCTTCTAGTTTAAGCAGCGTTTCTCTGCTGGGATAATCTTGCCCATTAAGGGACATTTGGCAACGTCTGGAGACATTCTTGAATGTCACAATTTGGGGTGGGGGTGAATTTCTATTGTTATCTAATGTATAGAAACCACGGATGCTGCTGAACATCCTACAGTGCACAGGACAGCTCTTAACAACAAAGGATTATCTGATCCAAAATGTCAGTAGTGTCAAGTTTGAAAAACTGCAGTTTAGAGGTTAAGAACAGAGGTTTTTTGAAATACTACTGAGTCTGACTACAGAAATGGGGTTAATAAGACCTGCTTACAAACTTAGAGTTATATGCCATATGCGCTTTGCACAGTGTTTGGCATATGGGCTGCCACCCAATACTCTGTAAATGTTAGCAATTATCTTTATCAGTATTATTTTTCAAAGTTGAACTCATTGAATTCATTGACTCTATATGATTTCATTCCTTCTTTTAGACATTCAGCAAACATATAATGAGTGCCTATAATAAACTAGGCACTACTTTAGTCTGTTTTATCTTTTACCATTTTGACCTGTCTTGTTTCTGCCGAGTTTCAATGGAGAAGCACCCATTTAAAAATACTGAGTTGGCCCTGGCCGGTTTGGCTCAGCGGTTAGAGCATCGGCCTGCGGTCCGGAGAGACCCGGGTTCGGTTCCCGCTAAGGGCACGTACTTCTGTTGCAGTTTGTCCCCGGCCCTGGTTGGTCGTGCGGTGGCAGCCACTCGATGTGTCCCTTCACGTCGATGTTTCTCTCTCTCTGTCTCTTCCTCTCTCTCCCTCCCACTCTATCTGTACAAAAAAATGGAAAAATGTCCTCGGGTGAGGATAAAAAAAAAAAAATAAAAAAAAAATACTGAGTTGGACTGGCCCATTAAGTTTTTAGGTCAGGTTGATTGAAATATAATTTTATAAAATGAAATTCACCCTTTTTAAAAATTTATTGTGACTTGAAAATACTAAACTTTATGTTGTGGATTTATGGTAAGAAAAATGTTTTTATTTCTTTTTATCCTCACCCAAGGACATTTTTCCATTTTTTGTACAGATAGAGTGGGAGGGAGGGAGAGAGAGAGAGAAACATTGACGTGAAAGGGACACATCGAGTGGTTGCCACTCACACGACCCAACCAGGGCCAGGGACAAACTGCAACCGAGGTACGTGCCCCTAGCGGGAACTGACCCTGGGTCTCTCTGAACCACAGGCCGATGCTCTCTCTAACCGCTGAGCAAAACCATCCAGGGCAAGAAAAATGTTTTGTGTTAAATTGGCAGTCAGTTAATATAAGGAGAAATAACGTAGGTTGAGGCAAAAGTAGGTGTATAGTTGTTCATACATGAAACAGTTTATTCTTGTATTATTATTTATTAATTATTGTATTTTCCATATGAACAGCTGTAAGCCTACTTTTGTCCCACCCTGTATGTAATACTAGAACATGACATCCTACAACTTTTTTTTTTATATCCTCACACGAGGACATTTTTCCATTTTTTTGTTCAGATAGAGTAGGAGGGAGAGAGAGGAAGAGAGAGAGAGGGAAACATCAACGTGAAAGGGACACATCGAGTGGCTGCCACCCGCACAACCAACCAGGGACGGGGACAAACTGCAACCGAGGTACACGCCCTTAGCAGGAACCGAACCCGGGTCTCTCTGGACCACAGGCCGATGCTCTAACCGCTGAGCCAAACTGGCCAGGGCAGCTTTTTAAATCTTGTATTCTTAGATGTATAAGTTGCAGTTTTATTCCCATATATCTTTTACCATAAATCATTTTATCTCTCTCTTTTGTTTTGGCTTCCCCCCCCAATACAAGAAATCTCCTCTACAGACAATAGGTGAAGAACAAACCCAGAACCCCTACACTGAACTGCTTGTACTGAAAGCTCATCATGATATTGTACGATTTCTGGTACGGTTAGATGACTGCAGGTAAGAAAACTCTAGTTTGTTGACTATTGTTTGGAAAAAGTTTTTAGGAAATTTTATATTAAAAACAACTTCAAAATTAATCCATTTTTTCTAAAAACTTAAAAATTGATTGTTAGCACCAGTTAGTAGAAATTGACCTCTGCTTTGCTCAGAAGTCAGAGTGTCATATTTGGTAATTTAATGCTTATTTTTGATTGAGGGTTTTTTTGTTTTGTTTTGTTTTTTGATGGCTTAGAAATTGGTTGTTTAGAGGAAGTGTATGACTTTAAAATTTGGGTGGGTGCCCTGGCTCATTTGGCTCAGCGATTAGAATGTTGGCTCATGGACCAAAGAGTTGCGGGTTCGATTCCGGCCAAGGGCACGTACCTCGGTTGCGGTTGGTCCCCAGCCCTGGTTGGGGTATGGGAGGCAACCAATCGATGTGTCTTTCTCATATCTATGTTTCTCTCTCTCTCTCTCTTCCTCCCACTTTATCTGAAGATAAATGGAAAAGTATCCTTGGGTGAGGATTTAAAAAAAATAATAAGTAAAATAAAATTTGGGTGGGGTTATAACTATATATTAAGGTGAACCTAAATTTGACAAACAAATATGGGAAATATTTAAATATCAGGTACCTAAGGGAATGTACTATTTCCTGTGAAAGGTGAGGTAAGTATTGAATCTGAATTTTTTGTTATTGATGAAAACCCTTTAAAATGAATATTATTCAGCAAAGGGAATAGAATCAATAGCATCATATTAACTACAGTGACAGGTGGTTACTAGCATTATTGTGATCACTTTGTGTATAAGGTATATAAATGTCACTATGTTGTACACCTGAAACTAACATAAAATTGTATGTCAACTATAATTAAGAGTGGATTAAAAAAATTTTAAATGTCCATTATTTTGTACTACTTTGGTAACATGTATAATATTGTGTCAAATATATGTGCAAATAGAGATGAAGGTGTATAGGTCTTAGGACTATAGATTTAGCTTATTACTGATCTGTATATCTGTTTATTAAACCCTTATTCAGTCATATCCATATCCTTTGTAACATGTATCACAATAACAATTACACAATGTAGTATTTACCTTCCCCTGTAGAATGTAAACTTCATGAAAGTGGGGACTATGTTTTTCATGTTCACTGCATATCCTTAGTATCTGGCACAGTGTTTTATATGTAGCAGATAATTAATAGATAGTTGTTAAATGAATTGATGAGTCCCCAGACTATTAAGTATACATGTTGCTTGCCATTTTAACTCCCTAATCCCACTCCGTTGTCCCTATCAGTTCTTCCACTGTCATCTCTAATTGTCTCTTTTGCTTTTAATACTGCTTTTTTAAATTTTTTTTATTTTGACTCCATGGATGACTGCTTCTGTGATTATTCCTAATTCTGACTATCACTTCTGTTGTCTATTAACCTGTCTTCTCTCTGCTTTTCTTATGTCTTTGGTATTTAGTTGCTTTTCCCATGCGCAGTGCAATTCTCACACTACCTAGAGTTAGATCAGATTTTACAGGACAAGGCACAGTCCTGAACAACGCTCCTGTCACTTCAGTCACTAGCTGCAGTCTCCAGGGTTTCCACACTTCTGACCAACTGGCTGCACATTCCCATTTCCCCTGTAGGTTTGAGAATTTGCTAGAATGACTGACAGAACTCAGGAAAGCACTCTACTTAGGATTACAGTTTTATTATGAAGGATATAATCAGGACCAGCCAAATGAAGAGGCCCACAGGGCAAGGGGAGTCCCAGTGTAGACTCTGTGTCCTCAGGGTCCATCACCCTTCAGCACATCAGTGTATACCGCCACTGAGAAAGCTCACTCAAACTTTGGGTGTTCAGAGTTTTTATTGGGCTTTCATACATAGGAATGATTAAATCGTTTGCCACTTGATTAAACTCAATTTCTAGCCTCCACCCCTTCCCCAGTTCTGAGGTCAGGCTGATATCTGTGGCTCAAAGCCGCAACCTGTAATTTCATGGTTCATATTTTCCACATGGCCAGCCCTCATTCTTATTGGTTTATTTATTTTTTCTTTATTGATTTTAGAGAGAGAGGAAGGGAGAGGGAGAGAGATGGAAACATCTATGAGAGAGAACATCGATTGACTGCCTCCTGATTTGGCCTACAACCTGGGCATGTGTCCTGACCGGGAATTGAACTGGCGACCTCCTGGCTCATGGGTCGATGCTCAACCACTGAGCAATGCCAGCTGGGGAGCCCCCATTTTTAAACTGTCTAGCCGCCCCCCCCCCCCCAGTCATCTTGTTAGTATAAACTCAGGTGAGGTCTGAGGAGCCCAGCTTCCCTCTAGAAAACAGGAACAAAATCCAGCCAAGTTATTGTACAACAAAATGCTCCTCAACTTTTGCTTGAAAAGACTCACCTCATATGTATTACTAGACTATCAGCATTATTTTCCTGTTGTGATACATGCCAAACCAATCATAGCATGTTAACCATAGTATATTAGTCTTCAGCCTTTTTGGTAATGTTTATTGTTGGTAGGTCCTAAGTGATACTATATTTATTTAGTCAGATCTCTGAAACTAAACGTTTCTGGGAAGATAGGATATCGAACAGTTAAAGTTTTCTTGTACCATATTTTACCATAATAAATTTCTAAGTAGGTTAAAAATAATCCCAAAGAATTTTCTGGACCATAATCACTAATACAGTCTTTGAACCTTAAGGAATCCTCAAATCATTTTGCCTAAGAAAGTTAAGTAAAAAATATAGTTTATTTTCAGGATGTGGTCTTTAAATTTTTATATAGATTAACTGTTAAGATTCCATGTTCATAGCTATCTGCCCTACAAAATGTCCTCTTGGCTATTCTTATTACCTAGTTGGAAGAAGACTCTCCAAGAAAAGGCCATCTAATAGAATAGTGATCATTGTCCAAATGCTGATATTTGATTACATTTTCTTCACAGGGTTGCTTATATATACTTCACTTGTCCAGTGATACAGTAAGTGTTCTGTAAACAGTAAAAAGCTATAGATGATTACATCAGTTATCTACTGCTCTGTGAAATATCACCCCAAAATTAGTGGTTTAAAACAACCACTATATATTTAGCTCACTATTTTGCAGGATGGCAATTTGGGTTAGGCTCAGCTGAGTAGGTTTTTTCCATCTGCACCAGGGTCAGCTTGTCTTGGTTAGGTTGACTTTTGCATCTGCGGTCAACAAGTAGATTGGCTGGGGGGCTGGCTGGTTCATGATGGTCTCAGCTGTAATGCCTGGGGTCTCTCTCTACGAGGGTGCTCAAGTGCTTGTTCACATAGTAATTATGGAGTTCTAATACCAGAAAAATGGCAAGCTCTGATATAAAACTTTTCAAGTCTCAGTTTGTTGTTTGCTGCTGTTTCATTGGCTAAAGCAAGTCAGGAGCTGGCACAAATTCAGTAAGTGGATAAATAAACTCTGTCACTTGATGGAGGAAGCAACTAAGTCTCTTTGCAAGTGGTAACATTGGGAGGGAGAATAATTTTTGTGACCATGTTTGCTATCTAACACAGTGAATCTAAATGTCTAAAATAAATGAAAAGCTTACTTTTTGGCTTTTGAAATAAAGTGAAGATATTACTACATGAATCACATATAATTCTTTGTGCTCAAGTCATTACTATGTCAAAATTTCCATACAATCAAGTCTGAAGTTTTTCGGTCAGTCACAGACCTTTAGAACTTTCCATCTGTGTTTTGTTTTAACAAAATTTAATTCTGTAGTGCAACTAAAAAATATAACTGAAAGAGTCATTATGGATAGGAAAAACATAAAAAGTCTACAAACTATATAGGTATTTATTACAAATAGAATTACAAGCTTAACATTTTCATTCTCAATTTAACAGTTTAGTTTAGAATTATCTTTACCATTGCATATGTACATTTTTTATGCATTGTCAAATTACCAAAATACTTTAAATAAATATGATATTGTTACACTTTTTTATGTTTTTACTTAGTTTTTGTGAACATTGCATTCTAGTTTTTTGGTCAGCTGTTGTAATCCAGGTTTCACGCTTCAGGTCTTTAGATAATATCAGTTTATTGAGAATTTTGCAGAAGGATTTTCTTGTTTTCTCGGTGGCTCAGCTAAAATCAGTGAGTGGAAAATTTTCTCAGATTGGTTTTTGAAGATACCAAATAAATCCTGTATAACCTAACAGACAGCTGCCTTTTCTTTTCTTCTTTAGTACTTTTTGAACATGAAGTGAGGGTCATATTGATTGGGAGATCACTAAAGAAGGCTAAGACTCAGCAAGAGTCTTCCAAAAAGTGGAATGTGCTAAAATTACATGTAATACTCTAGCATTTGACACATTAAACTAAACTGAGTTTATAACACATTTTAAGAATAGTTTTCTCTGTTGCTCATTTGACCATTCCTTGCTACTCCAGGAAACAGACAAGGTTATATAGGATGGTGATCATGACTGGAAAAGAATTAGGTGACCCATGATATGCCAGACTGGAGAACAAGTGCCCTAGGATGGCTGGTGAAGCTGTATATTGACAAAGAAACTAAACAAACTTGGTGTGGTTTGAGAGTTCACTAAACAAATAATAGGTTATGTCTTTAAGAAAATATTCTTAAGCTAAAAGCAACTTTCTCACAAACATTCAGAGAAAAAAAAAAATCAATAGTCAAGATGATTTAGATCCTCCTAATACCTGGGTTCCCTAGGAAGCAGACAATAAAATGGAGTTGAGCATGCAAAAAGTTTATTAGAGAGAAACACCAATAAAAGGAAAAAGAAGGAAGCAGGATTAGACAGGGGGACCTGTCTCAGACTATGATGCAGATCTGACCAAGTTGTTGTAAACCCAGTGGGGAGCTCTGGAGGAAAGAATGTCCTTTAGAGGAGTCCTGCATTGTATGGAAATAACTAATACTTTTTGCTCTGCCTTGCTTTGTCATTGGCTGAGGGTCATTCAAGAATGTTCCTGTGGCTTCCTCCACCTTGCTTAATCCCAGTGG